CCGCCGGCCCGCCCCCCCAGGGAGCTCCGCGGGGCCCCCGAGGCCTGACCCTCTTTTGAGGTAGGACCCGCGCCTCCGGAACCCGGGCCGGGAGGAAAAAAAGGGGGGGGGGGGGGGCTCCGCGCGCGCTTTACTCCCAGCCCTTCTGCTGCCTGGGCTCTCCCTCGCACCGCCTACCTCGCAGGCAGTTGTTTGTTTTTGTTTTTAAAATCCCCATACTATTTCCTCCCACTTCCTGTCACGTTCCACCACCCCCCCCCCTTACCGTTTTATCAGCAAAAAATAATAACAGGAAGCATTCGCTTCTTTAAACACACCCTACAGTTACGCATTCAGGGCTGCTCTGTTCTTGTGTGGGATGCGAGCATTTACCTGCCCACCTAGAGCACAGCGAGTGTCCACCTGCAGAGGCAGCAGGTGGACTTTCCGTGGGCACCGTCGCTCCTGTCAGGCTCACCTGGCAGCAGTCCTCTGCGCGTTTAAAGTGCTATTTGGGTGAGAAGAAGAAGAAGAAAAAAACTATGGCTACTGAGCATGCCCAGTCCTTCAGCTAGGCTCCTCTTTACAAACTGGAAACCCCAAAGCAAAGATCTTGGTGTTGGCCGCACGTAAGAGGAAATGGGGAAGCGAAAGAAGATATGGGTGGGAACACCTAGGGACGGGTTTCAGAATACCTCCAGCGGCGCTGGGAGCCGCAGGGGTTAAAGGAAAGAAACAAGTGGGCGATTGTGAAGGCAGATCCTTAAGTCACTAGACTGGGAAATCATAACGTCTCTGCTGTTAATTCCTCCCCAACCAGCAAGTGCCCTCACCAGTTTGAGCCGTAGTTTTCTTGACTGTACAAGGATGGGATTGGATAGGTGATCGCTTTAAGACGCTTTCAGGTTCTGACTCCCCGGGATCTTTCCCCCATTGCAGAACTGTTCATCATATTAGAGTTAACTGCCTAGCACTCTCAAAGGGTTTGATCATCAAATTTGGGATATCATTGGAGAGATTCACTGTTGTTGTTTTTTCTCTCAAAGATACCATTTACTGGTCAGCAGCAATGTGAAGGGCCCAACACGGGATCAGGTTTCCCTCACCTTCCTCAGCACTGTAGGATTCTCTGAGAATCTCTTCTCTAAATGGCCTTCTCTTATCTTGTTCTCACCTCCTTGTTTTACTCTCATTCCCTTTTTGGCCCATAGTACTCATTAAAACTTTGGAGAAGTGGAAATCTTGGACTGAGTGTCGTTTGTCACTCTCAATGTAGAAATGAGCATGGGGTGGTCATTTGGTAGCACTCAAAGGCCTAGAAAATTAACTTTTTAAAACCCATATGTTTGCAGCTCCCACTGATCTCTTCCGAATTCCCAGTGACTATGAGTCAAACGTGTCATGAACTAGTGGCCAACCTTGGGGTCACTTTTGGAAAGTGGTTTCTAAATGGAAGAGTCTGAGATTCTGATTCTCACGAACTTTGCTGACACCAGGTGGCTCAGCTCTCTCACCTCTAAGAATTACTGCACTTCATCCATGACAGAAAAATCCTGCAGCTACCAGGAGATTTAGAAATGAACACAAATGTATTAAGGCTTATAAGTAGAGCAGGTGGAAGCTAAGCTTAGGTAATATTCGGACTTCCCCCTCCGATACATAATGTAGCCTTGGGAACACTTGCAATTCATGTAATCTCCCCAACGACAAGAGTTGCTTCTTTGAGTAAATATTTGTAGACTTGATAACACTCATTAAACTGGTATTTAAATCCATTCCTTAAGAAATGAAGATTGCATATCAGAATTACTATCTTACGGCAATTTTTTTGCTAAGTTTTTGAATAATTCTTTAGTAATTGCAAAAATATGACTTTGACTGATTTTTGTGCTCGTTTGTCACTCTATGGTGGGAGGCTGCTTATCAGAATAAAATATTTACTGTCACAAAGAGAAGATAACCAGATTGGTCTGGTAGCCTAGAATGAACAGACTCTACAATGCATTACAGTGCCTCCTAGTGGCCTCTGATAGCTAAGACATCATAATTTACTACAAAGGAGTGTAGGTGAGAAGAAACTTATGTTTAGCATGTATAATTTTATATGTTTCTTTCTCTACTTGCCTTCTTTTCCTAGGGTTTTAATTCCTAATTATGAAATTATTTTGCTACATTTTTTAAGAACTCATTTCTGTGTCATCAAAAAACTAATTTTGAAAAAGCTTAAGATTGGATATTTCAGATGTTAAAGTAAATTAACATGTTTGATAATTTATACTGATTTGGTCACAATTAAGTAAAAAAATCAGAATTCTGGATTGTAAAATTGCAAAACCACATCAATAGACAGAAAGGTCCCAGTGAGGTTAAAATAATTTCCTATTGGAGTTAGCTCTATACTTATAATAGAGTTTCTCTGCACAGTAGTAGTTTACCTAATACCTAAACATGGAATCATTACTTTAAAAAGAGCTTAACTGAGATCAAACATATTTCTTTAGAGGCTTTTCCTTTATTCTCCCCTATTTTCCATAGATTTGTCTGATGTGGTTGCATTGTGGGTTGACTCACCTGTTTATTATGATTTTAAAGAAGGCTGGCTTTGAAAATGATACCAGAAAGACAAAGTACCTCCAAGTCTTTTTATGGGACACTGGGCATTAGAAAATCTATCTAAAATCTGTGATTACCTCTTAAGGAAAGTTTTTCATGTCTACTCTTTGTGAAGGAATTAGCTTAGTTGCCACCTCATATTATAAATAAAAAAAGACTTGTCAGATCTCATTTAAGAATCTAATGACTACAAATTACTATGTGGTATACTATTTCCTTGAGGAGAAAAAGGATCAGAATTAAAAAGTGTGGCTAAAATCTTTAAGAGGAACACACAAAAAAACCCACACATATCCCTTTTCCCATCAACCCTATGAGCCATTACAAAATTATTTATACCTGGTTATGTATGAAGTTTTGGATGTTATTTAATAAAGTTGAAACTATCTAATAGAATTATTCTAAGAATATGTGTAATTTTTATCTTTCCACAATTTCATATTTTTGACAAGATAGCAATATCTTAAGATGAGAATTAAAGTATAGGTGGTTTTAGTTTTGCAAGAAAAATGAATATAATGAATATAAGATCTGTTATATAATTGGTCTATATGCAAATGAAACATTTTATTGGATTTGAAAACTGGCTCTATTATGCATCCTAATCAGTTAATCAGTTCCTGTTCTTTGAAAGACAGGAGCATCTTAATGTAAAGCAGACACTTAAAGAAAATTAAGTTACATGTGAGCCAGAGTATCCTTTTCAATGTAAATTTAACATTCAATACAACTTCAATAATTACACATTTGTAAGTGTATCCTGGATGAAATTTCATTAACATGTCTACTTCTACCAACATGATTTGGCCTGATATTTTTATTTCTAATATGAATCCATCATTAATGAGCCTGACAGCAAATTTAATTGCCATTTACTCCCTACCTCTAAAGTTGTCATTATAATAGCTGTTCTATGGAGTCTGCGTCTTCCTGATATATCTTCTCTTCTCTCTGCCTTAGGGACACTGACTCTTTTAAGCCACTTATAGACTATTAAGTAATGTATTGTTGCTGTAAAATCCTTGGTAGCTCTAGTATTCTACATGATCTTCTAATAGTTTGAAAACATTCATTTTGGGCTCTTAAGAATCTACATTAAAGCTTAAGAATCTGCATTTTTGCCAAAGAATGAAGTAGGCTCTAGAGGGACAGAGTAGAGCCCTCCGTATAGGCAAATAACTAGATTTTGTACTGTCCCTTGGACTTGGGAATATCATGTGTCCAAATAGAAACTTGCACAATAATAAAAAAATGACTTGAAAGCAAGACTCAGGCTACATGGTGCACATTTACACTGTTTGTAGAGCTTAAGAGGGGGTGAATGGGTAAAGGTAGAAAGCTATTGAGGAAGGAAGTTCCAAGTACAGAAAGTATGTCTATATACTTTTCCAGCAAAATCTAAGAGGAAGAACAAGACAAAGACATTAGTCCAAAGGTTAGAAAAAGCATGTTGCAGACATAAACATTAAGTTTTGTGGGGTTTTGTTGTTGTTTTTCTTTACTATGGTATTTTAGTGTATTAAGTGGAGAGTTTTTAAGACTAGTTTACCTTCTGGTAAATGAAAGTAATTCTAGAAAGTTATTAATAGAAAATTGATTTGCATGCTAAATTCTTGGTATTTGGCTATCACATTTAATGAATTATAAAGTGTTTTTTATTTCTTTGAACTATAAAATTTACTTTTAAAAATCATGTGACAGAAAATAGCATATTATATAATCTACAAAGTTTGAGACTACTGTATTATATTCAAGAAACAGTGTCCTGAAGTAGAAGCATTGGATTAAGGTTCAGAAGTGTGAGTTCAAGTATGGGTTCTATTAATTACAAATGTCATGTCCTTAGGCAAGTCAGTAAACCTCCTTGAGCCTCAGTTTCTTTATATGTAAATGGGATGATAATATCTCCATATCTATGCTAGAGGACTGTTTTTGAGGACCAGATAGAAAATGTAAATAGAAGATTCTCAATAAACTATAAAATACCAACATACCCATATAAGTTATACTGGTTGCAGCTAGAAAAACATTGACTTGACTCATAGTAAGCAAAACAACAACAACAACAACAACAACAACAACAACAAAACCACAAAAGCATAATTAATAGAACATGGTTATAATTAACTAATGAGATCACAGAGAGCTAAGAACACCTCTATTATATAGTAATTTATGATCACAATAGCTTCCATTTGTAGAATGCCTAATGTGTGTGCTAGTTCTTACCTCTCTCTTGTAGGGAGGCATTTCCCTCAATTTGCATATGAGGAAACTGAAGTTCAAAGAAGACAAATGATTTGCATAGTTCAAATGGCCAGTGAATTCCTGAACTGGCATTCAAACCCAGGCCAGTCTGGTTTAAGGTGTTATACCCTTAACATTATACAATGATGAGATTATTTTCTTTTTAGTTTTTTTCCCATCTATAAAATGGGAGGGCCATCAGAATAAGTCAGTTGTACAGCACTTTTCAGTTTACATAAGACTATCACGTACATCATTATATTTATATTTAGCAACATTGGTCTACTGCTGTTTGGAAGATTTTTATTAGTCATATGTTCATTAATAAATACAAATCATTATTTTCTTTATGAATTTAGGTATCCTGGAATTCATCAGTGTGGCAGTGGGACTGGTCAGTATTAGAGGTGTGGACAGTGGTCTCTACCTTGGAATGAATGACAAAGGAGAACTCTACGGATCAGTACGTATTTTTAAAAATTATGTAATTCATAAAACAATGACTATCCATTTTGTAAGTAAAATATCTACTAATGCAATTTAGAAGAAATATATTTATGTACAAATTAGAATTTTATATTCTAATATGTTACTATGTATCTGAGCACTAGTATAGTAGCTCAGTTTTATTTTCCAAAGCTTAAACCCTTATTGCTTTCAGCTCACTAGGCTTTCCTGCCCATTATCTTAGGTCTTTTTACTTTTCTTCATATTTTGGTCATTCCCACCAGAGATAAAGAAAATGAGAGCATTTTCTTTCTGCCATGTTAGATTCTTTTTGCTTTTACATTCATTTAATGTAAAAATTTTCTACTCATTATCATCCTCTATAGCTAAGTATATATCACTTGCTATCTTTGTTTTATTTTTTAAAATATGTTTTTATTGATTTCAGAGAGGAAGGGAGAGGGAGAGAGAGATAGACACATCAATGATGAGAGAATCATTGATTGGCTGCCTTTGGCATGTCCCCCACTGGCAATGGAGCCCACAGCGTGGGCATGTGCCCTGACCAGGAATTAAACCATGACCTCCTGGCTCAATGGTTGGTGCTCAACCATTGAGCAACACTGGCCAAGCCAAAATCACTTCTTAAAGTCAAAGTCTCTAACAAGTTACAAAGACAATTTACTCTATGATTTAGCTGATGGCACTGTCTAGTACCTTTTTTCCCTTAAAATCTCAACTGAGACCACATGTTCAGTTAGAAACTCCATATACACAGAAAAAATTGGTTATAATATTTCAGTAAGTGGCATCCCACTTATTTCTGTCCTTCGTAAGAGCAAACCTTGCTCTTTCCAGGCTGTCTGTTCAGAAGAGAAATACTACATGTGTAATAACCACAAGAGTAGAATTACAATTGAAGGAGAAAAACATGCACATAATTTTCCTTTTTCGTGTATATGTTGTATTAAAAGAATCAACTGTGGTCCATCTCTTAGGATAATATACAGTCCATCTTGAAGAGACAAGAAGTCACTGGGCTTTTCCTGCATTTACCTAAAAGTAACATCCAGATCAAAGTTAGTCATGGGGAATGTATCAACAAACAATAAATTAATAAATTCATAAAGCGAATATATATGGTTTGGAGGGATGATCTGAAATTGGGAATTGGATGTTAGCAAGATCTTGAAGTGTTTCAAGATGTGGTAGAGATTTTCTACGTAGAACTTTGGCATCTAATGATGGAACAACATAAACTACAGGCCTCTTTGTTGGCGATAGTATTAGGAGGGAAATAAAATGGAGCATGAGAAAGTTCAGAATATTTTTTTAAGTATTTGAAAATAAAATTGAGAATTAACATGAAACAAAGTTCTTTGAATTGAACTGCTGGGAGAAAGAATTCCAAGTTACATAAGAACTAAAGCAAAATAAAGTAAAAACAATTCAATCTTTCTCCTTCCTTGGCAAGGATATAATTATAGGCAAAGAACTAAAAAGACAGAGTTGAGATTTTTCTAAAAAAATATTTTCAAAGGTTTTTTGCTTTTTTTAAATGACAGTTATCTTCTCTCTTTTAGGAGAAACTGACTTCTGAATGCATCTTTAGGGAGCAATTTGAAGAGAACTGGTATAATACCTATTCATCCAACATATATAAACACGGAGACACTGGCCGCAGGTATTTTGTGGCACTTAACAAAGACGGAACTCCAAGAGATGGTGCCAGGTCCAAAAGACATCAGAAGTTTACGCATTTCCTGCCTAGACCAGTGGATCCAGAAAGAGTTCCTGCATTGTATAAGGACATACTAATATACACTTAGAGTGTGATCGTGTCTTTACTGAAGAACCAAACTGCAACATTTTTTCTTATTATAGTTCCCAGAGTAAAATAATAACCCAGGAAGACATTCAGAATGTTTCAGAGCCTATTTTCCACTCAGAGAGTGAATTTGGAAAGAATATTAGGAACAAACAAAAAAACTTGGCTGGACATAGCTCAAGATCTCTCTTTATAAGTGGATTAAGTTCCCTTACGTACACTGGCTCAGTCCTTAATGGTAGATTGAAGCTGAAAATCTCAAAGACATGGATAATGGGAATCCTACCTAGTTTGCTGCTCTGGTGCCTCACCTCTCTGGATTATGTTTACTTTAAAAGTTACATTAAAAATAGATACTTCATGTTGAAGAAATGGATTGACATGGTTGGCCAGGATTACTGCTACATATATTTTAAGGACCTTGAAGGATTTTGCAGGTTATGTAAAAAATTCTATGTAAAAAACCTGGGTGTAACGTGGACTATGAAACATGCCACACCAAGATGGAACATTTTTTTTAAAGGATGGACCTATTTATACATTTTCAATTTTCAAATATTTATTATATATTTATTTATTAAAGAGTTTATTTTTTACTGGTATATGAAGATATTACAAAGAGAAAAAACAACAAAAATTCCTTTATTGTGCCATTATTTTGTTGTAGTATCTTTGTCTGTAAAGAAGACATCATTATTACAACAATTAAACATAGAATAAGATCTTGAGTTACTTTTTAAAAATAAAGTAGAGCATAGCTTATATTTTTTTGCAGCCATTTGCCTTCTAAATGTAACATTGGTTCTTTTGACCTAGAAAAATGCTTTAATAATTTGTATTGAATTCAACACACATTTGAAAGGAAATTAAACATTTTTTTTTAATGTTTTGGCTTCATTCCTTTTCAGGTGAAAGTTATTCTGCTTGTATAACATAATCATTTAAATGACAAAATTTTAAGTTCCCTAGAAAAAACCTTCAGTACTTAGAGAACTTCTAATGTTGAAATTTATCAAACATTATGGACAACTGACGTATTTTCTTGTATCAGTGTGAAAAGACCATTTCTTTTCCCATTATGATCACAGAAAGAATTAATCTTAGTGGTACCACCACTAACAATGGTAAGGCTCCATCTACTTATCTGCGTCTGGTATCTTTTCCATAATAGCTCCTATTTAATAATTTATCCAGTAAATATCCATTGAAGCCTGCTATACAGAAGATACTGTTAGGCACAGTGTGGTGATCAAGGCAGATGGGCCCTGCATCATGGAGTTTAATGTCTAATAAGGAAATAGATGGTGAATAAATAAGCTAACAAATACCATAATTGTGAATTGTGACACGCTCTATGAGGAAAACAAGGTTCAGACACAGGGAGAAGAGAACACATTTTGATAGGATGAGTCATAGAAAGCTTCTCGAAACAGGTGGTGTTTTTAATGGGTCCTAAAGGGTAAGAAAGAGCCAGACAGCCAGACACCCTAAATGGAGAATAAGAATCTTACTAGAAGAGGAGACAGCGAGTGCAGAGTCCCAAAGGCAAGAAAGAGCTTTGTGGCTGGAGCTTAGTGATCAGTTGGGAGAGTGGCACAGATGAGTTTAGAAAGCTACGCAGATACAAATCCTGTAGGTTCTTAAGGGCCTTTCCGAGGTCTGTTCGCTTTTGGCAACAGTTGTCAATGTCACTACTGTTAGGTGAGCAATCATCATTGGGGATATGGTAATGATAATGGTAGCAGCTGCCACTTGGTCTCAAGCTGCAAGTCCTGGTAAAACAAAGATTGCTGGGCCCCAAGCTGAAGAGTTTCTGATATGTTGGTCTTGGGTTGGACCCAAAACTTTGTATTTTAACAGGTTCTCAGGTAATAATGATGCTATTGGCTGGAGACCATACTCTGAGAACCACTAGTGTAGAGTAGTGTTTCTCAAACTTTAAAGAACCCACAAAATCAACTGGAGGGTCTTGTTAAAGGACGGGTTCGTTCATCTATAAGTCAGGAGGGGGAGAGGGAGATAAGATTTTGCATTTCTAACACTGTCCCAGATGCTGCTTGGTGCTGCTAGGCTACGGACCACACTGTGAGTGGCAAGACTGGCTGTTGCTTTAATGCTCTGGTGTTATTCCTATTTGTTCATCCTCCAGTTGCTTAAATAAATTAATGGTGATATATGGGGTGAGGGTAGGAAGTTTAACACATAACTTTAATAAAGCTACATGGGAATGTGTATGTGTTGGGGGAGTTGTGTGTGTGTCTACTTGAGTGTATTCAGGCTGAGAGAGACAGAGAGAAATGTTTCAGATCAAAACCTTTTGGTTTTATGAATGTAAAAAGCAGTAAAGATGGTTTAGTAATCTTCAAGATAAAGTAATTCCTATTTTCTCTAGTGCTAGAGAATTTATCCCTATAGTAGGACAATAAAGGTATGATTCTGTCCAAATGAAGTCAAACTAGATTGGTGACCAAAGTTAATAGGGATCTAAAAAATGCATTTGCTACATCAGGGACCACAGATTACTAAAAGGTTGATTTAATGTTCATCTCTATTTTAGACTAGTCAAATCTGGGGTAAGTGGTATATGGGGTTATTCTCAGTTCCTTCAACACCCTTGTTAAGTAATTTGGTAGACTCCTAATGCACTTTGGCAATATTTGATATTTGCAACTGTGATATATAGTTGTTCTTGAGCAGTGGTTCTCAACCTTCTGGCCCTTTAAATACAGTTCCTCATGTTGTGACCCAACCATAAAATTATTTTTGTTGCTACTTCATAACTGTAATGTTGCTACTGTTATGAATCGTAATGTAAATATCTGATATGCAGGATGGTCTTAGGCGACCCCTGTGAAAGGGTCGTTCGACCCCCAAAGGGGTCGCGATCCACAGGTTGAGAACCGCTGTTCTAGAGGCTCCCGTTTGGTATGCCCAAATGTTTGGGTCCTACCTTTTAACCTTTTGAATGTTCTTTCCATTCAATCACTTGCAATTACACACTCAGGGGAAGGAGATATCACTTCAGGAAAACGTCTTTGGTCTTCTGTATCCAGCAATTATCACATCCATATCCTTCAATAGTCAAAATGATTTCTCTACTTATATTCTAGTTTCCCAGAATTAACGTTATTTTTGATCCTGTAGCTAAAGGTCCCTGAGATTCTTGAATGTTATCCTTTGTTCAAAACAGGACTTTCCGGGCAGATCTCACGCTATAATGGACCTGCTTGCATGTTAAGGACTTCGGGGCAATTTGTCCTTCCCTTTGAAAGCCTGGGCCTGATCTCCAGACTCTAGGGCCAGGCTTCTTAAATTAAGGGAGATCAAAAGAAATCAAAGAAAACGCTTTGGAAGTTGTTCTTTGTTTTTCATGTGTAGGGAGTTTATCCTTAAGATTTACAAAGTCCTTGTCTCAGTGTTCCCTCTCTTGGCTCAGCTCCCAGTGATTTTGAAGTGGCTTGTTGCTATCTGTGCAGAGGGTTTGCCAAGGTTGTTGCTATAGCTGCTGTGCCAGCAAGTTGAGTTGATTCTTGTGTCCTATTGATTGCCTGTGAATCTTAGCAACTTGCCAGTGTTCCTCTTATGAAATGGGGAAAGTTCTCTCCAATCTAATGACCCTTTGTCTTAGCCCACAGTGACATTGTTGCGCTGACAACAAGCCTAGTCCAAATCCAAATCTTTCCATTAGCCAGTTCTCCAGCAATTTCCCATGAAATTCATGCTTCCATGAAAAGCTATTGGAAGGAAGAAACAGAACCCTTTGAAAGAGACCAAAGATGCCCATTTCTTTGCATTTCAGTATAAAGAAAATCATCTGGGTCTTTGGGCTCTCCTATCCTGTTGGTCAGGATGATAGTTATTAGAAGTTCCTCCTTTCTAAACTCTGGATTCTGCTTATCAGTTTTCCATGACTAGGGTTGCACCACCACTCCTTGCAAATCAGCCCACTTTGGTTCCACAATAGAAACAAAGCATTAATTTCAAAGAAATTTCCACTTTTCCTCCTCACATATTGTATTCACTACCTCTCTTTTTCTATTGTGGTAAAATATACATAATATTTTAAAATGTACAATTCTATGTCATCTAAGTACATCTGCATTGTGGTGCAACCATCACTATCATTTCTCTCCAGAACTTTTTTATTTCCCCCAACTGAAACTCTGACCCATTAAACACGAATTCCTCTTTCCCCTCTCCTTCCAGCTCCTAGCAACTAATAACATTCTACATATCTTTCTAAGAATCTGACCACTCTAGGAACCCATATAAGTGGAGCTTAGAGAATAGATGTTTATTAGGCAGTGCCCTTGGGATGAACAATTGTAAGAAAAGGCAAGGCAATAAGGTGTGGCAGGGAAAGTTGAGCTGTGATATATATGTGATGCCAGACTTAGTCATCTTGATTGAGCTCTGGAGAATTTGTCCCTTATAGTAGGACAATAAAGGTCCGATTGTGATGAGTTGTCTGAAACTTTTAACTCATACCTGGATCAGTTGCTGGATGTGTACTTCCACAGGAAGTGGGGTGTCTGAAGCTGAGAAAATTCCTGAAGGGGCTGACAGCACCTGGCCATTTGGAGACATAAATCCTTTCTTGCGAAGATGTATAGACAATGAATCTCCATGTTCATAACCATCCATTCATCGTTGCTTGGAACCACATTTTCATGAACATGATATGACTACTGAATCCCTTTGTCATGGACCTATTCTCATGCCTACTCTGCTGTATTGAGATCCTGTGCAGGTAGAACAAGCTCTTAGGTTTGAGACCGTGTCAGCTTACACCCGGTTTCAACACTCTTAGGTGGTGATGTTTGCTGAGACACTATGGACAGTAAAGGCAATTCATATCTAGAAGGTCTATTCCTATCTGATTCAATCTCAGAGCTTTTCAGGGTAGAGGGGCTCAGGGTAGACAACTTGCCATCAAGTGGACAGATAGTCTCCTTAAGAAATGGTACACATAAGCGCTCAGTGTTGTTTTTTGTTGCTGGCAGGTTGAACATTCAGAGGGAGTAGTAGATACATTATGGAAAGTGAGTGCCCATCAGCTGCTAGGCATGCCTAACCTTTATCTTTGTCATCACTGTTGCTTTTTAATATGTCCATTGTCACAGTGTTGGACTGGCCAATGACAGCTGGCTGTCAAAATGGCTGAGCCATTCTATCTACTTGGTTGATTAGTAACTCCTCCACAGTGGGAGCTCTTGGATTGGTGTTAACTTTCAATACAAAGG